TCTTCCTCCATACTCGGGGTCCTTGGGCCTCTCCATTCTTCCTCCATACTCGGGGTCCTTGTGCCTCTCCATTCTTCCTCCATACTCGGGGTCCTTGTGCCTCTCCATTCTTCCTCCATACTCGAGGTCCTTGTGCCTCTCCATTCTTCCTCCATACTCGGGGTCCTTGTGCCTCTCCATTCTTCCTCCATACTCTGGGTCCTTGTGCCCTCTCTATCTTCCTCCCATACTCGGGGTCCTTGGGCCTCTCCATTCTTACTCCATACTCGGGGTCCTTGGGCCTCTCCATTCTTCCTCCATACTCGGGGGGTCCTTGGGCCTCTCCATTCTTCCTCCATACTCGGGTCCTTGGCCTCTCCATTCTTCCTCCATACTCGGGGTCCTTGGGCCTCTCCATTCTTCCTCCATACTCGGGGTCCTTGTGCCTCTCCATTCTTTCCCATACTCAGGGTCCTTGGGCCTCTCCATTCTTCCTCCATACTCGGGGTCCTTGGGCCTCTCCATTCTTCCTCCATACTCGGGGTCCTTGGGCCTCTCCATTCTTCTTCCATCATACTCGGGGTTGGGGATCTCCATTCTTCCTCCATACTCGGGGTCCTTGGGCCTCTCCATTCTTCCTCCATACTCGGGGTCCTTGGGCCTCTCCATTCTTCCTCCATACTCTGGGTCCTTGGGCCTCTCCATTCTTCCTCCATACTCCGGATCCTTGTGCCTCTCCATTCTTCCTTCCTCCATACTCGGGGTCCTTGGGCCTCTCCATTCTTCCTCCATACTCGGGGTCCTTGGGCCTCTCCATTCTTCCTCCATACTCGGGGTCCTTGTGCCTCTCCATTCTTCCTCCATACTCCGGATCCTTGTGCCTCTCTATTCTTCCTCCATACTCGGGGTCCTTGGGCCTCTCCATTCTTACTCCATACTCGGGGTCCTTGGGCCTCTCCATTCTTCCTCCATACTGGGGGTCCTTGGGCCTCTCCATTCTTCCTCCATACTCGGAGTCCTTGGGCCTCTCCATTCTTCCTCCATACTCGGGGTCCTTGTGCCTCTCTCCATTCTTCCTCCATACTCGGGGTCCTTGTGCCTCTCCATTCTTCCTCCATACTCGGGGTCCTTGTGCCTCTCCATTCTTCCTCCATACTCGAGGTCCTTGGGCCTCTCCATTCTTCCTCCATACTCGGGGTCCTTGGGCCTCTCCATTCTTCCTCCATACTCGAGGTCCTTGGGCCTCTCCATTCTTCCTCCATACTCGGGGTCCTTGGGCCTCTCTATTCTTCCTCCATACTCGAGGTCCTTGGGCCTCTCCATTCTTCCTCCATACTCGGGGTCCTTGGGCCTCTCCATTCTTCCTCCATACTCGGGGTCCTTTGGGCCTCTCCATTCTTCCTCCATACTCGGGGTCCTTGGGCCTCTCCATTCTTCCTCCATACTCGGGGTCCTTGGGCCTCTCCATTCTTCCTCCATACTTGGGGTCCTTGGGCCTCTCCATTCTCCTCCATACTCGGGGTCTTTGGGCCTCTCCATTCTTACTCCATACTCTGGCTCCTTGGTTTCCAAATGTGATGCAAAAGTTGCTCTGATCAGAAAAGAGGACTTTGGACCACTGAGCACCAGACCAGGTCTGTTTTTCTTTAGCCCAGGTAAGACGCTTCTGACGTTGTTTGTTGTTCAGGAGTGGCTTGACAAGAGGAATACGACATTTGAAGCCCATGTCCAGGATCCGTCTGTGTGTGGTGGCTCTTGATGCACTGACTCCAGCCTCAGTCCACTCCTTGTGAAAGTCCCCAACACATTTGAATGGCCTTTTCCTGACAATCCTCTCCAGGTTGCGGTCATCCCTGCTGCTTGTGCACCTTTTTCTTCCACACTTTTCCCTTCCACATAACTTTCTATTAATGTGCTTTGATACAGCACTTTGGGAACATCCAACTTCTTCTGCAATTCCCTTTTGAGGCTTTCCCTCCTTATGGAGGGTGTCAGTGATGGTGTCAGGTCAGCAGTCTTTCCCATGATTGTGATTCCTACTGAACCAGACTGAGAGACCATTTAAAGGCTCAGGAACCCTTTGCAGGTGTTATGGCTGAATGATCTGATTAGAGTGGGACACTTTGAGCCGAGATTATTCCACCTTTTCACAATATTCTCATTTTCTGAGATTGTGGATTTGGGGTTTTCATGAGCTGTCAGCCATAATCATCACAATGATGACAAATCACGGCTTGAACTATCTTATATATATATCTGTATATATATATAAAGTTGCAAGAAAAAGTATGTGAACCCCTTGGGATTCCGTGGAGTTTTGCATGAATTGGGCATAAAATGTGCTCTGAACGTCATCTAAGTCACAACAATAGAAGAACACAGTCTGCTGAACATAATACTACACAAACATTAGATGTTGCCATGGTTTAATTGCACATAAAATGTAAACATTCACAGTGCAGGGAGGAAAAAGTATGTGAGGCCATAGCTTAATGACTTCTCCCAGAGCTAATTGGAGCCAGGAGTGAGCCAACCTTGACTCCAATCAGTGTGATGATATTGGATGTGTTGCTGACACCTGTTTTGGGTTTACTGGCTTCAAGAAGCCCTGTCTGATGTGAACCATGCCTCGCAGAAAAGAGCTCTCAGAAGACCTACCATCAAGAATTGTTGACTTGCATGAAGCTGGAAAGGGTTACACAAGTATCTCCTTGAGCCTTGATGTTCCTGTGTCCACGGTAAGACAGACTGTCTACAAATGGAGAAAGTTTAGCACTGCTGCTACTCTCCCTAGGCGCGGTCGTCCTGTAAAAATGACTGCAAGAGCACAGCGCAGAATGCTGCATGAGGTAAAGAAGAATCCCAGAGTGTCAGCTAAAGACCTACAGAAATCTCTGGCACATGATAACATTTTTGTTGACACATCTACAATAAGGAAAACATGAAACAAGAATGGAGTACATGGGAGGACACCACGGAGGAAGCCATTGCTGTCCAAAAAGAATATTGCAGCACGTTTGAAGTTTGCAAAAGAGCACCTGAATGTTCCACAGCACTACTGGCAGAATATACTGTGGACAGACGAAACCAAGATTGAGTTGTTTGGGGAAGAAACACACAACACTATGTGTGGAGAAAAAAAAGGCCCAGCACACCAACATCAAAACCTCATCCCCACTGTGAAACATGGCGGGGGGGAGCATCATGGTTTGGAGCTGCTTTGCTGCCTCAGGGCTGGACGGATTGTTGTCATTGATGGGAAAATGAATTCCAGAGTTTATCAAGACATTTTGCAGGAAAACGTACGACCATCTGTCCACCAACTGAAGCTTCGCAGAGGATGGGTGATGCAACAGGACAATGACCCAAAGCATACAAGTCATTCAACAAAACAATGGCTACAACAGCACAGAATACGCCTTCTGGAGTGGCCCAGTCAGAGTCCTGACCTCAACCCGATTGAAATGCTGTGGCATGACCTTAAGAGAGCGATTCACACCAGACATCCCAAGAATATTGCTACACTGAAACAGTTTTATGAAGAGGAGTGGTCCAAAATGACTCCAGATCGTTGTGCAGGTCTGATCTGCAACTACAGGAAACGTTTGGTTGAGGTTATTGCTGCCAAAGGAGGGTCAACCAGTTATTAAGTCCAAAGGTTCACATACTTTTTCCTCCCTGCACTGTGAATGTTTACATGTTATGTGCAATTAAACCATGGCAACATCTAATGTTTGTGTAGTATTATGTTCAGCAGACTGTGTTCTTCTATTGTTGTGACTTAGATGACGTTCAGAGCACATTTTATGCCCAATTCATGCAAAACTCCACGGAATCCCAAGGGGTTCACATACTTTTTCTTGCAACTGTATGTGTGTGTATATGTGTATATACTGTATATGTATAATGAAAGCCCAATTTGTCCTGAAAAAAACGCGGTATAATCCACCCGGATGTACGAAGTAGCCGTGACGATATGTGCGGTTTTACTAACACGCGTCAAAGTTGTAACATTTTACTTAGGCTTTTACGTTTGTTTTACCTTTAGGCATGAAGGGGTTACAGGGCAGCAGCTTCAGGTTTTGTACTTTTAATTCTCAGAAAACTGCTTTATACGTTGCTGTGTAAAAATTAAAAAATAAATTTCCCTTTTAATTTCAGCCTTCCCATTTCTCTCGGCGTGCATTTTTTTTTTTCCCGATACACGAGTGTATCCGACGCGCGGCATAGTGACCCCCGGGGAGGGAGAAGCAGGTGTGTTTATACATTACAGGGAATGCAGTCATGTTGCGCGGTGATATAAAGTCCTTTGCAGTGCGTAGATCCTTCGCGGCAGCTGTCTCATTATCCCGAGCGCCCTTGCACTCCTTCAGCTGCCATCACTGCCATGGCGGTAGTAAAAACGTTCGGCTTGTCGCCTTTATTTTCCCTGCCTCCGCCGTCGAATCATTAGCAGAATTTAAGAGGTGTCTAATTTCCCCGCGACGGCGGTAAAAACCGACTTCTAATTACAAAACGTAGCCTCCGCTTCCTACGTAGGACTTGCCTTAAAGAAGCCGCGTATAAATATCATGGGGGGGAGCGCGCTGGCAACCCGCACACCGCCGTCCTTACTGCAACAAACTGCGTCCCGGGCAGCTGGGCTCCCGTAATGAAGACGCTTCACCGAAGGTGTTCTTTATGGCGGTAATGACTCCACACAAAACCCCCCGTGTGCCGCGCTTCGCTCCCGACTTACGAGGGTCTAATTACCAAGCAGGAGGTTCGATCTAAAGGAGAAATCGCTACTTGCGACCATTTGCAGTACAACTCTGTGCAAAGGGGGATGGCCGAGATTGGGTTCAAGGAAAAGCCCATTAAAGCATTTTGCAGCAATATATCATTTTATACTCCCCTCCCCCCCCACCCCCCCGTGTGTGTGTGTGTGTGTGTGTGGTATACATATATATGTGTGTGTGTGCCCCCGGGCATCTTTTCAACCAATTCCGATCATTATCTGTTTGTTTTTTTTTTTACCTTAACCACTTCCAGTCCGCGAACACTTTCCCCCCCTTCCAGTCTGGAACACTTTCCCCCCTTCCCAGTCCGGACACTTTCCCCCCTTCCCTGTTCGGAACACACTTTCGCCCCACTTCCAGTCCGGACCTTTCCCCCCCCTTCCAGTCCGGACACTTTCAACCCCCTTCCAGTCCGGACACTTTCCCCCCCTTTCTAATCCGGACACTTTCACCCCCTTCCAGTCCGGACACTTTCACCCCCTTCCCTGTCCGGACACTTTCCCCCTTCCAGTCCGGACACTTTTTCCCCCCTTCCGGTCCGGACACTTTCCCTCCCTTCCAGTCCGGACACTTTCCCCCCCCTCCAGTTCCCCACTTTCACCCCCCTTTCCCGGAACACTTTCACCCCCTTCCAGTCCGGACACTTTCCCCCCTTCCAGTCCGGACACTTTCCCCCCCCTTTCCAGTCGGACACTTTCCCTCCCTTCCAGTCCGGACACTTTTTCCCCCCTTCCAGTCCGGACACTTTCACCCCTTCCCTGTCCAACTCCCCCACACTTTCACCCCCTTCCTGTCCGGACACTTTCACACCCCTTCCAGTCCGGACACTTTCCCCCCTTCCAGTCCGGACCCCCCTCCACTCGCTTCCCCCCCTCCCCCCCCCTTCCAGTCCGGACAACTTTCCCCCCCTTCCAGTCCGGACACTTTCCCCCCCCCCTTCCAGTCCGGACCACTTTCACCCCCTTCCAGTTCGGACACTTTCGCTCCCCTTCCACCCCCCGGACACTTTCCCCCCCTTCCAGTCCGGACACTTTCACCCCCTTCCAGTCCGGGACACTTTCCCCCCCTTCCAATCCGGACACTTTCACACCCCCTTCCAGTCCGGCCACTTTTCATCACCCCCTCCACCCCCCTGTCCGGACACCACCCCCACCCCCCCCTTCCAGTCCGGACACTTTCCCTCCCCTTCCAGTCCCGGACACTTTCCCCCCTTCCAGTCCGGACACTTTCCCCCCTTCCAGTCCGGACACTTTCCCCCCTTCCAGTCCAGACACTTTCACCCCCCCTTCCCAGTCCGGACACTTCCCCCCCCCTTCCAGTCCCCCCCACCCCCCCCTTCCAGTTCCGGACACCCCCCCCCCCTTCCAATCCGGACACTTTTCACCCCTTCCAGTCCGGACACTTTTTCACCCCCTTCCTGTCCGGACACTTTCCCTCCCTTCCAGTCCGGACACTTTCACCCCCCCTTCCAGTCCGGACACTTTCCCCCACCCCCTTCCAGTCCGGATTCCATTCCCCCACTTTCACCCCCTTCAGTCCCCGGACACTTTCCACCCCCTTCCTGTCAACCCACAACACACTTTTCCCCCCCTTCCAGTCCGACACTTTCCCCCCTTCCAGTCCCGGACACTTTTTCCCTGCGGGACCCTTCCAGTCTGGACACTTTCACCCCCCTTCCAGTCCGGACACTTCCCCCCCTTCCTGTCCGGACCCACTTTCCCCCCTTCCAGTTCCGGACACTTTCCCCCCTTCCAGTCCGGACCACTTTCCCCCTCCAGTCCGGACACTTTCCCCCCCTTCCAGTCCGGGACACAACTTTCACCCCCTTCCAGTCTGGACACTTTCACCCCCCTTCCAGTCTCCGTCTGGACACTTCCCCCCCCCTTCCAGTCCGGACACTTTCCCCCCCCCTTCCAGTCCGGACACTTTCCCCCCCTTCCAGTCCGACACTTTCCCCCTTCCAGTCCGGACACTTTCCCCCCTTCCAGTCCGGACACTTTCCCCCCCTTCCAGTCCGGACACTTTCCCCCCCTTTCCCAGTCCGGACACTTTCCCCCCCCTTCCAGTCCGGACACTTTTCCCCCCCTTCCAGTCCGGACACTTTCCCCTTCTTCCAGTCCGGACACTTTCCCCTCCTTTCCAGTCCCCGGACACTTTCCCCCCCTTCCAGTCCGGACACTTTCCCCCCTTCCAGTCCCGGACACTTTCCCCCCCTTCCAGTCCGGACACTTTTCCCCCTTCCAGTCCGGACACTTTCCCCCCCTTCCAGTCCGGACACTTTCCCCCACCTTCCAGTCCGGACACTTTCCCCCCCTTCCAGTCCGGACACTTTCCCCCCCTTCCAGTACCGGACACTTTGAATGACAATTGCGGCGGTCATGCAACACTGGACCCATATGAATTTTTTAGCATTTTTTTTTGAGACAGATTAAAGTTTATTTTGGTGGTATTTATTCACTGCTGGGATTTTTATTTTTTTTTGCTATATAAATGAAAAAGTCCAAAAATTTTGAAAAAAAGTGTTTTTCTTATAAAAATTTTGCAAATAAATAATATTTCACCATAAATCTCAGACAAAATGTATTCCGTTATCTTTTTAGTAAAAAAAAAATAACATAAATTAGTTTATAACCCAAAAATTATAATTTTTAATACTTTTTTTTACATTTTAATTTTATTGTTTTAAATTATTATTTATTTTTACATACTGTCACCCTAGCAGTGTGGGGTCACCATGGTGACACTGTAACCACTTGTGGGGGGTGATGAAGATTTTTTTTTTACATTGATTGCTTTTACACCCATAAAGGCTGTAAGAGGAATCATTTCTCCTTCTCTCTGGCTGCATTCTTGCAGCCATTGAGAAATACTGTGAGAGCTGTGATTGGCCCGTACAACGATCGGTGTTCCACTGTGTATGGAGGACACATCAGGCACCAGATCGCGGTGCTGCACACTCCCAGGGAGTGTGCACAAGCAGAGGATGGGGAGGCCGTTTATATACAATGGCCAAGATGGGAGGTGGTTAACCACTTGACCTCTGGAAGGTTTTACCTCCTTTATAGCCAGGCCTTTTTTTTTTTTTGCTTTTTTTTTTGTTATTTCGGCACTGCGCTACTTTAACCACTACCTGTCCGGCCTATTTGCATAAACGGCTGGATGGGAGCACAGCTTGAGTGGGTGGACGTTTCTAAACGTCCCCCAGCATCATTGCCTGTGCGCGCTCCCTGAGAGCACGCGGCACCGCGATCAGTGCCCGCTGTGTCCTCCAAACACCAATCGCTGTACGGGACCTCTGTGTGAGGTCCCAATTCATGTGATCCCTGATTGGCCAATCAGGGATCACATGATTAGTCACTTCTGACATCATTGCTTACTACGTGTGAAATCTGTGAATGATCACAGAGATCACATGGTACAGGGCTATTCACAACAGCCTTGTACCATGTGACAAGCTGTGACCAATCACAGCTCGCACAGTATTTCTCAATTGCTGCAAGAATGCAACCTCTGTAGGAGGTCCCGATCATGTGATCACTGATTGGCCAATCAGTGATCACATGCAGAGTAGTAAGCAAGATGTCACTTCTGATATCATTGCTTACTACATGTGAAATCTGTGAATGATCACAGAGAGATCACATGGTACAGGGCCATTCACAACAGCCTTGTACCATGTGACCAATCACAGCTCTCACAGTATTTCTCAATGGCTGCAAGAATGCAGCCAGAGAGAAGGAGAAATGATTCCTCTTACAGCCTTTATGGGTGTAAATGCGATCAGTGTAAAAAAAAATAAAAATCTTCATCACCCCCCACAAGTAGTACAGTGTCACCATGGTGACCCCACACTGCTAGGGTGACAGTATGTAAAAAAAACCCCATAAATAACAGTATAAATAAATAAATAAAAAATTAAATTTATAATTTTTAGCTATAAACTAATTTGGGTTATTTTTTTTTTTTACTAAAAAAGATTGCTGAATACATTTTGGCCAAGATTTATGAAGAAAGATTATTTATTTATTCAGTGTAAAAAAAGAAAAAAATATATTCATCACCCCCCACAAGTAGTATAGTGTCACTATGGTGACTGTACTGCTAGGGTGACAGTATGTAGAAAAACAAAACAACCCCCCCCCATAAATAACAATTTAAATAAATAAAATAAAAATGTAAAAAAAAAAAATGTAAAGTGTATAATTTCTGGCTATAAACCAATTTGGGTTATTTTTTTTTTTTTTTTTTACTAAAAAGATTGCTGAATACATTTTGGCCAAGATTTATGAAGAAAGATTATTTATTTATTCAGTGTAAAAAAAGAATCAAAAAATCTTCATAACCCCCACAGGTAGTACAGTGTCACTATGGTGACTGTACTGCTAGGGTGACAGTATGTAAAAAAAAAAAAAAAAAAAGCATAAATAACAATATAAATAAATAAAATAAAAATGTAAAAAAAAAAAAAATTAAAATTTATAATTTTTGGCTATAAACTAATTTGGGTTATTTTTTTTTTTTTTTACTAAAAGGCTGAATACATTTTGGCCAAGACTTTTGAAGAAAGATTATTTATTTATTCAGTGTAAAAAAAGAGAAAAAAAATCTTCATCACCCCCCACAAGTAGTACAGTGTCACTATGGTGACTGTACTGCTAGGGTGACAGTATGTAAAAAAAAATAAATAAAAAACCTATAAATAATAATATATTAATAAACAAAATAAAATAAAAATGTAAAAAAAGTATTGAAAAATTATAATTTTTGGCTATAAACTAAGTTGGTTTTTTTTTTTTTTTTTTTACTAAACAGATAAATAGACAAGGCACACCTCTTTTGATAACTCGCGTGCGCGCAAAACATGTCAAGGAGGAGGCGTACGCCGTGACGTCACGCCGCCGGAGCCTCACGAAGGTCCGACGGCCATCTTAGAGAGTGGCTGGTCAGTCTCATGGTTTTTTAAAACTCTGCTTTTTGGTGTTTTCTTCACGTGGATGATACTGTTTTTATACCATAATAAATTGATTTAATTACTACACCGGGGGCGGACTGACCATTTGGAAACTCGGGCACTGCCCGAGGGCCCGGGGTCAGTAGGGGGCCCCATGAGATGCCCCTGGTACCTTTTTCATAGGCTTTTTTGAGTTTGGGCAAGGACACAGGGGCCCCATGATCCCCTATTGCCCAGGGGCCCCATGAGTTGTCAGTCCACCCCTGTACTACACTATGGGCACCTTCTTTCTTGGCTCTGCATCAAGCGAAACAATTTCCAGGACTCTATCAGGAGAACAGCTGCAGAGCAGTCCCAGATCCAGAGGAGGGAGTCTTTCCTATGCTGCTTGCTCTGTCCACAATAAAGGGGGCTTCTGGCAGCCCTTACAATCATCATATCATTCAACATATTGTGCTTTAATTATGCGCATCTGGTGAGTGAGCATTTTTCATCATATCCCCTGCACAAATTTAATGGAGTGAAATCACAGGAAATCCTTTTGATATCACCTGTGCAGCAGGATATCTACGCGACACTATTTTCTGACTGGTGTCAGACTTTCGCCATCATATGAACAATTTTCTGTTTATTGTCTTTCACGGTTGCACGCAATTCTTTGCGCTTATTATAACGAAGCACTTTTTATTTATCCCTTTTTTTTATTTTTTTTTTTTTTTTTTTTTTTTTATTTATTTGAACCACTATTTATTTTATCATTTTTTTTTTATTTATTTGAACCACAATTATCATCACTTTGTGTTAATTGTTTTTTAGCTCGGCACTTATTGTTTATATGTTTAGATAGATGAATACATTTTGGCCAAGATTTATGAAGAAAGATTATT